AACTTTATGTCCTGTGTTTTTTTTTTTCGTAAGCTGTAAAACAAACATAAAATATACTGGGGACATGAAAATGACTGTTTTCGTGAGAATGACCCATATAATGAAAGAATTGAAATCTTTGTAAAAAGAATGGTTTTGAAGGAATTTAGAATGTGTCACTTAAGAGAATTGATGCTTTTCGGGCTTGGCTGACTCGAAATAGAACGGAAAGAACAGTTTCTAGTTTAAACAAATGTAAGCATTTGGAATACCCAGGTTACAATATTATAGGACATTCATCGATAACGCGATTTCATAAAGAGTTATCAATTAATTATTGATAGTTAATTTCTAACTATGTATAAAAATCTAACGATAGTGTAGCAGTTTTCCACTGTTTTCAGTACATTTTTATTGGCCGGAAACTCACTTGGTAGTAGCCAGTTTTCTTTAATTTATTTCCATATTGGCTTGGTTGTCATCAGCATAAAATTAATAAAAGTCATGAAGGTATTGTTTTTCTACAAATGTTTTTGTATCCCTGATTTAAAGTTATTTTCCTGTACTACTATGATTACGTTTTTAATTCAAAACTTTAAAACTAAAATATAGTTCTTTTTTTATTATTATTAAAACGTAATTCTGTCCTACATTTTAAGATAAAGTTATTTAAAAAGGTAGCTAATCTTTTTAACCATTTTACACTCATTATTTTTTGTGAAAATTACGTTAATATATTGTTATAAATTACCGTTATAGAGATTCGTTAAATAATTTAGAATTTAACGATCAGCTTCATGCGCAATGAGATACAAGCATAAATAGTATTTAATATATTCGCCAGTTTGGTAAGCGAAAATGTTAACAATGATTGTGAAGTCACCAAATTTGTTAAAACAATATGATGTTAGAACAAAATAAATGTCATTTAAAAAAATGATTAATTAGAAGAATTACTTCTGTTCACCAATAGATAAAAATATTTATAAAACTAATAGATAATGATATTTGGACGTGAGAAGTAGAGGCACAAAAGTAAATAAACAGAATTCTTTTCAGTACATTTGTTAAGTAAATAATTTCAAATTTAGTAAAAAAAAACTGTTTTCAACCTAGAAACAACAATGATTGCAAAGGGGGTGGTTAGCGGCGGTGAACAGGGGGCTTAGCTCCTTAGCGCTTCATAAGAAACAAATTTAGTGTAAAATTCTAGAAAAAAAAGTTTAAAAAAACAAAAAAAATCAAAATTTTCAAAAAAGCCAAAAATCAATTTTGAATATTTTTTTAAAAAATTATTTGTAAATAACGATAAATATTGTTAATAGAATATTTATTTCACAATATTCCTCTGCCTCCTTCCGTATGAGCTTAGGGGCCGTTAAATAAGTACGTACATCCCGAAGGGGGGGGGGAGGGGATTTTCTATTTTGTATTGCCATTATATTTCATTACGCTTTCTTTGCTGGATTTTACACAGAAAACACCTCATGCATGCTAGAATATCCAAAATGTTACAATAGAAGTCGAAAAAGAGCAAATAAACTGATTTTCCTGGATAAAATAAAAATTTTACAATAAAAAAAATTTCCTACATGCAGGAACCTCCAGAATATCGAAAAACACATAAAAAAAATAATATAATTTAAAATAAACAAAAAAATTTTTTTTTTGAAAATTTGACTGTCCCTGGGATTTGAACCCAGGACCCCTCCCTCCTGCAGCAGACTTTTCTTGTCTGGTGGCCTACATGCCAGTCCACGGTGATACGTGAAGCCTACCACAGTTTCGCTTCAAAAGCTCTCTCCCCTCATCTTCGCAATATTCCCTTAGGGGCCCACTGTGACCCCCCTATTAGACCAATAAAAATTCTCTTCGGCAGCCATGTTTGGACCATAGACCCCTACTTAGGGTCCGAGTTTGAAAATTATACCTTGATATTAAAGGGAGCTAGGGGATCTCGAAATTTGAACCTTACTCGCGCCATTTATTTTTTTATTCTTCTATTTTTATTGTTCTATTACGCTTTCTTTGCTGGATTTCACACGCAGAAAACACCCCATGCATGCTAGAATATCCAAAATGTTTCAAAAGGAGTCGAAAAAGAGCAAATAAACTGATTTTCCTGGATTTTTCCAGTTTTTTTCCCATTTTCCCAATGAAAAAAATTATACATGCAGGACCCTCCAGAATATCAAAAAAACATTAAAAAAAATAATATAATGTAAAATTTGCAAGAGAAAAAAATTTTTTTTTTTTGAAAAAATTACCGTCCCTGGGATTCGAACCCAGAACCCCACCCTCCTGCAGCGAATAAGCCTATAGTTATTTCCACTGGTTGCCGGTAATATAATACTAGGTTCAATATAAATATTATGGGTCAATATTAAGGTAAGGAATCGGGCTATGTGTTGAAACAGAATATTGACTTTAATTTTGACAGAATTTCCTTATTTTAAAGCTAATAGTTGCCGGTAATATAATACGTGTTCCAATATAAGTATTATGGGTCAATATTAAGGTACGATATCGGTTCATGTGATAAAACAAAATATTGACTTCGAATTTCCTCATTTTAACGCTATTCAACGCATTCATACATACATAGTGAACTATAGGGCCACATTATGTACCCCTTAACTAGCCTTTAATTATTTCTTCTGGTAGAGTAAACTAGTACCCGGTAATATAATACGTGTTCCAATATAAATATTATGGGTCAATCATAAGGTAAGATATCGGGCTATTTGTTGAAACAGAATATTGACTTCGAATTTCCTCATTTTAAAGCTAATAAACGCACTTAGCTAAAAACACACTAAAGCTAATAAACATACTTAGTAAATTATAGGGCCACATTATGTACCCCTTAATTAGCCTATAATTATTTCCTCTGGTAGAGTAAACTTGTACCCGGTAATATAATACGTTTTTCAATATAAATATTATGGGTCAATATTAAGGTAAGATATCGGACTATGTGTTGAAACGGAATATTGATTTCGAATGTCCTCATTTTAAAGCTAACATGCTCTCTTTTAACTTCAGCAATTCTTTGTTTAAAATAATGTTTCTTGTTAATTATCTATGTTAAGAGACTCCGCCAGAAAGTGTTATATTCTGTCGTTCTCTACTAAAAAATACTACTTAACTAAAATAAAATCATTCTAAATCCATTTTTGCAAAGAAACAAGAAAAATATCACTTTATTTCAACACAAAAATTCGTTCTATATCACCATTGCAACCTATGATACAAACTATAGCTTTCAGCTTGCATATACTCAAATAACAAATAAATCAAAAAATCCAACTTACAACTTACTTACACTTAAATAGCAAATAAATAAAATCTAGTACTTTTGACAATCTTTACATAACATTTAAATGATCTTATATTGCTATTGATTAAAAAAATTGTTGTTGTTCATTTACGTCGCACTAGAGCGGCACAATGGGCTATTGGCGACGGTCTGGGAAACATCCCTGAGGATGATCCGAAGACATGCCATCGCAATTTTGATCCTCTGCAGAAGGAATGGCACCCCCGCTTCGGTAGTCCAACGACCTGCACGCGAAGTCGAGCACTTTACGGTAGAACAGTTTAACGAGGACCNTGGCAACCCCGCTTCGGTAGCCCGACGATCTGCACGCGAAGTCGAGCACTTTAAGTTAGAACAGTTTAACGAGGACCCATACCGCACACCCTCGGTCCCTACGCAGGCTGATCCAAGTGGTCACCCACCCGCACACTGACCGTAGCCAGTGATGCTTGACTTCGATGATCTGCTGGGAACCGTGTCTTAACGATCAGTCCTCTGCGGGACAAAAAAAAAATTTTTTAAGCTAAAATCCTTCAAGATAAACAGTATACTTACCCTATTTATCATTATTTTGCATTGCGCCTATTATTTTATGATGCAATAGCAACAACATAAGAAAAAAACTATTACAAAACGAGCGATAATTCTCTATGTTAAAGTTAAGTGGGTATATTTACTTCTTTGTTTGTCATTATATTTGTTAATTATGATTTTTTTAAGCAATGCTGTTATGATAGATTAAAATTTAAAGTTTCATAATTCTTAAATATCACTGTGGATAATCGTTTTCTGTTTCTATGATAAAATGAAAAATGGAATAATTTTTCTACCAGTTTCTATGTTTTTAGATTTAAGAACTGGCATTTTTTCTTGCCAAGTAGTTAAGTGGGTAGTTCAAGATATGTATGTTAAACCATGTTCGATAAATCGATCAAGAGATAAATATAAGAATAAGAGATAAATATAAGGTCGAAATCTCCTATCAAAATTAAAGTAGTGATAATAAAGGTATGACATTTTATATTCATTAATTTTTATTTCATGAAACAAGGTATTATAACTATCACGTTATGTTAACAATAAAAATTATAATATTTAGTTCTAAACTTGATTGCGGAGTTATTTTTAGATTAAAATGACAATTAAGTGCTTAAACAGGTTTAAGTTGAAACTTATGTCTGATATTTAGCAAATAGCTTGCAGTTTTTAATTTTTTATAGTAGGCTTCAAACCTTGATAATATAATAATAGAATTTCTCTGTGACAATTATTTAGACAAAAAATTAGAAAAATATTGAAGCAGTAACTATCAGTATTTATTATTGATGTGAAACAATAACTAATGCTTTAGAAGCTCAGTTATATCAGCATATAATGATTAAAAGTTTGAATTGTTTTTTTTTTAATTTGTGACCATGTTTGTTTTATCATATTTTCCCAGAAAATACGGTGATTTCTTCATATTTTTAAGACAGTTTGGTTTTACAAGAATCACGATATGGTATAGTTTGTTCACGGTAAGAACTCCCCCTGTCACAGAGTCTGAGGCCGTCTGATGCTATGGAAACAAGAAAGGCGCATTTCAGGGAGATTAGTTTCTCTTCCTTCTAAGACTAACACAATAGACCGAAGAAAAAGATTCCCTTTTTTGGCCGACCCCACTCCCCTAATTGAAAATAGTTATACCTCGTTACCATAGTCACCAACACGAGTCCAGACGAATAGTTAGGGGAGTTCTTACTTTAGACAAACTATACAGTCTTTGTGGAAACAGCCTGACTGAAGTGAAACAATAACTACGGCTTTAGAGGGTATATAACGGTTTATTGATATTATTGATTACGGTTTTTTGAATTTAATATCAGCATATGATGCTTTAAAGTTGTTGTTTTTTTTTTCAGTCTTGGTTTTTCATTTTATCATATATTTTCAGAAACTATGGTGAAATTTTTTTTTTTATCATTTATTATTTTGTTAATTAATTTTTACAAGAATTATGATGTAGAAAACACGAAATATAAGAGTTAAATAAAAACGAGTATTTCAAGAATTTTTTTTCTTCCTTTGCTTAAGATAGTTTATTCTTACAAGAATTATGATATGGTACAGTTTTTGTGGAAAGAGCGTAACACTTTTGCCAAATTCTTGTTTGTTTTCTTTTTTGCTGGTCTTTCATTCCACGCAATGTGCTGGCTGTTCAATTGGCTCCTCAAATAATTGTCCATTACGTAATCATCGTATTCACTTCTCGGAGGAGCGTAAGGCCCGTAATGGACGTGGAATCCTCTCCTTTCCAGTTCAGTTTTTAAGTGTTCATAATCATAGCCATCGTGACGAATGTTGTGCTCATTAAAATCAGCTCCCAAAAGCTCTTCAGGTTCTGTCATGCGTATTGGAATGATAAAATTGATTCCCTGTAACGAAAACAAACTTTATTTTAGTCTATGTCATTTATCTCGCAACATTTAACAGATTATTACTCATTGGCAAAATGGATCATGGGTTTCATGGAGTCTTCACTTTTCAACTACAAAAATCAAGAGTAATAGTAAACAGTGCGCGTGCGTTGCTATGACGACCGCTACTGTTTGATATTTTTTTTTTGAATTCTTTTTTTTTACTTTTAATTTTGTTATGCATTAAGTTGGTGAGTTTATTTTCGAGATATGGGACCAGAGAGATCCCATAAATACTTCTTGAGTTGTGAATAAAAGAGAATTTCATCATTTGAACGATAATTTTCGTTTGTATTGTTTTAATTAAGAATCAGAAATTCTAACCAACAGTTTCATACTGGATCGTTTTCAATACTAATTCAGGTCAATGTCACAAATAAAGAGGGATCAAACTGATTGACAAGGTCCCAAAAGTCAGAGTTGAAGCAAGAAAAAAACAATGCCAAGGCCTAAACTTACCGAGGCTGAAAAAGCCAAATAGCGTAGAAGGGAATACCTTAAGCGTTACACACAAACGGAAAAACGAAATGATTTCGTTCTTAAACGCAAGCATGAAGCCCGTCCGTCACAAAAATACCAAAGTGGTGGAGACAACTGAACCCTACCGAAGAACGAATGCTGACTCTCCGAACCCCTTTCATGCAAATACGAGAACTGGGTGTTGATCACCCGTTAGGAAGAAAAAGATCCATTGTCAACGTACCCAATAACTTGCACAAGACCGTAGACTGTCTTCCACGATCTATATAAATGATTCATTCACTATTCATGTAAAATTGAAAAAAAAAGCCTAGCTTTCAAATCATATTTCATGTATGAACTTGTGAATTCGAATCGGGTGTAGGATGCAGCTTACAATCTCCATCAAACACCATTGTACCAATCCGAAATAGTTAATACTGATCTCGATTGGCTGTTCAATGTCTATTCAGTCATTAAAAGAATGTACACAGAACGTGTCTGAGCTGCATTTAAATATGTCTGCGAAATTGTGTACCGAGCAGTTCAGGATTAACAGTTAAAGATGTCCAAGATGAAAACTCAAGAAAGTTTCTTTTCCAAAAAAAAATTTGACAACCATTGTGCCAATGTGTAACATGCGATCGTTTTACTACGAATACTGACGTAAATTATCATCAATGATAGACAGATCATGGATTAGAGTCCCCTTGCCGTTAGGCTAATCGTGGGAGGTTTTCGTGGTTCTCCTCACCATGTAACGAAAATGCGGGTTAGTTCCATCAAAAAGTCCTCCACAAAGGCAAAATTTCTTCTAATACTTGATCCAGGAGTTTCCTTGTCTTCCGGATTGGGTTCAAAATTATAAGTTTACGGAGTTGAACATTATTAGTCCTAAACCAGAAATTGGGTCGGCTGTTCAACGACGGTTATAAATGATTGTCCGGTGAAGACAACTCCAAGGCAAGCAGAGAATCATTCGATTGATGCGCCAGTCAGTAAGTGTTCGCCTATCTTTGCAAGATGAAGTTCTTAGCTTCAGGAATGATGTAATTTTACAAGCTTTTTTTTCAATTATGTGACGTTAAACTTAACTTTTTCGAGACGGGCGAGTCATGCATGCATTTGTACAGAATCAAGATGTGGTAGCTTAAATGTGCCTACTTTGAAAGATATATTTATGCTTTCACTTTAAATCTAACATATCTAACAATGTATTTTTCATTTTGAACTACGTAATGATGAATGAAATAAATCTATCTCCCTCCCTGTTAAAGATATAGTTTGACTTGCAGTTCTAACCCTTAGAGCGCGTCTTGCAGAGATTTTTTTTACTTACTTTCAAGATAAGAAAAGTCGTAGACATGCTCCATGCTGCTGTACAAAGACAGGAGAAAAGTTGCACCAACAAGAAATAAAATCCACCCCCTTTGAACAAACCATTTAAACCTTTCGTCATGTTCAGTAAGGGATCCGCTTCCACAAACAGTCCAACAGCAGCCATTCCTAGAAATCCACCGACTCCGTGTACAGCNTGGATCAGTCTGCGTAGGGACCGAGGGTGTGCGGTATTGGTCCTCGTTAAACTGTGCTACCGTAAAGTGCTCGACTTCGCGCGCAGGTCGTCGGGCTACCGAAGCGGGGGTGCCATCCCTTCCGCAGAGGATCAAAATTGTGATGGCATGTCTTCGGATCATCCTCCGGGATGTTTCCCAGACCGTCGAAAATAGCCCATTGTGCAGCTCTAGTGCGACGTAAAGTAACAACAACAACATTCCCCTAAATTATCACAACATTAATTTAATCTCAAATATATACAGTTTAAAACACGACAATTAATCGGAACCACGGTATGCGAGTAACCCAAATCAGTCGCAGCCGCAGCGACGATGAATTGGTAACTTTAGTGTGATGAGCAATCGAGAAACGAGTAGTATTAGCAGGACGCCTGGGTCATCATCATAACAAAGTCACAGATACGGTAGATAAGTGGTAGTAAATTAAAAACTGAATTACAATTATAGGAAATATTCTCTGTATTTAATAAAAGTTTAATACCACCATTGAGAATACCATACTTTTATATCTATGTTAAATATATTTAAATGAAGCGATGGTCAAAACAAGTTTTAATTTAGTTTATAAATGTAGGGAATGAATAGAAAGTACACATTTTACTACCACATCAAATGAAAAAACTATACGAAAAGTGCGTTAAAGTTTCTAGAGATGCTACCGTCAATGACCGAAATCACGAGAATGTCAGCAATCACATAGTCGCTTTGATGAATGTCCGAAATATTTGTTATATCCGATTTGATATTTAATTTATTCGTCGATATTATTATATTTATTCGATATTTTAATATCTGCTGAGGATAGATTATGAGAAACATCAGTGTAGGGTATACCGGGCAGTGGCACTGAACCTTAATAAAACATTAATGTAGGACATACCGAGCCCGGACAGTTGCACTTAACTAGACTTAGTATATATCTCGGACATTTACCAAAGCGACTATTTGATTGTCAACATTCACCGGTGGAACAATCACCAAATTTGGTCATTCACAGTAACATATATATCATTATATTAAAGTAGATAGAGTTATTTAGTTACCGAAAAGTACCTGTTATTGATGAAACACTTGTTCTACCACTTTTATTAATAAAAAGAGGAATTGTCTTCTCTTAAAAATTTATAAAAAACGTTGCGTGAAAGAAGGTAAAATGGTTAAAGTTATTATTTTCTTTTTTTAATAAATACAACTACTACAGCAAATGCAAGTCGCTGTACTATTTAACCATGGAAATAAGCGTTTATTTCTTAGAAACGATGTTAGCAAAAAAATTATTTGCAAAGAATAGAAGTAAATTTAAGTTTTGAAATTCCAACTATAATAACAAATGCATGTTGTTGAATTCTAATTTTTGCACTAGTCGTACTTGTTTTTTTTAAAATTGGTAACGGGTGTTTACATTATTATTTCTACGTTTGCTGAATTATGATAACAGAGACTCCAATTACTACGGATTCTCTGCAGTTTCAGAAAATATATTTTTATTTAATTTTCAGAATATATGTATATATATTCAAAACAAACACACACACATATATATATATACATATATAACAGTTCGAACAGGGAGTCTGAAGCATCAGATGGGCCTTTTCCATTCAACATGAAATATTTTATTTTATTTTATAATTACCGTTGAACAGACAACCCAATTTTGAGTTTACAACTACTAATGTTCAACTCAGTAGCCTTATAGTTTTAGACAAAATGCAGAGGGCAAGGTAACTCCTTGATAAAGTATTAGGAGAAATTTTCCTTCGAGGAGGGCTATTTGATGGAGCTAAGCCGCATTTGTGTTACATGGAGAGGAAAACCACGAAACCTCCCTTGGTTATCCTGACTGCAAATGGACTCTAACCCAGCGACAATTTCATTTTATTCTATTTTATAACCGTCGTTGAACAGCCGACCCAATTTTATGGATTTACGACTACTAATGTTCAACTCCGTAGCCTTGTAATTTTGAACCCAATCCAGAATACAAGGAATCTCCTAGATCAAGTATTGGGAGAAATTTGCCTTCGTGGAGGACTTTTTGATGGGGCTAAAGCTCATTTCCGTTACATGGAGAGGAAGACCACGAGAGCTTCCCACGGTTAGCCTGACGGCAAGGCTACTCTAGCCCATGATCCGTCTACCACTGAGGATATTTCGCGTCAGAACTGTGGTCAGTACAAGCCGGATGCGGAACTCATATCGACTGGGATTCGAACCCGGTTCGCCTCATTGGAAGGCGAACGCTCTATCCCCTGAGCCATTTTATTTTATTTTATAACCGTCGTTGAACAGTCAACCCAATTTTGGGTTTACGACTGCTAATGTTCAACTCCGTAGCCTTGTAATTCTGAACCAATTCAGAAGACAAGGAAACTCCTGGATCAGTACCCCCAGAGGTATGATTTGTTATGGGAACATGGAGTACTTTGAGACTTGACAGATTTAACGTGCATCAGTCACCATTTACTACACGGATAGTTTTCGGTCGGCGAGGATCGAAATCACGACCTCTTGGACACGGACCCAGCACCCTCGTGATTTCGGACAATCACAGAAACAATATTACTGGTTTTTAAATTGTATCACGCCGTGTTAAACCGGCGCTTGTAACGAAAGGGTACTTCACGCTAATAAATATGTTCATTGAAATGTCATTGTATTGTAATTATACCTGTTACTCCAACTAATGCTCCTAATATACCATTGACAGTGTCGCTCACGCCAAAGGACCTATTTTTTAGATATCTGGAAATGAAAATATATAATTATTGTATATTAGAAAATATTAAATAAATAAAACTAACGATACGAAGTGAGATTTAAAAAAAATTATATAAAAAAAAGAAATTAATAACAATTTGAATAAAAAGTTAGAAATCAAAGACAAGCAAAACCGAAATTCTAAAGACATGTATGTAGGTTTCAATACCATAGTGCAGTGTTTCCCAAACTTATGAATTTTGTGTACCCTTCCTAAATTTTTCGTAACGCTGTGTACCCCTAATAAAAAATGAATGTATTTTTTACTACAAAAAATGCGCAAAAGTTAAAAATCACAACTGGCTGTTGACACCACTAATTATTAACTGTTAACTCTGCGAAAAATAGCCATTAGAAAAATACGTAATCGTAAATTTTCATGGTTAGTTTTGTTTTTAAATAAAATTTTTTGAAATTTTCATATGTTGTAAGATATTTCGCATAAGAACGCGAACCCCCGCTAAACTGTTCCCGTAACCCTGGGGGTACGCGTTCCACACTTTGGGAAACACTGCCATAGTGTAACAACTGCGAACATTGCGTCATCCACCATCTTGTAATATTAAAAGAAGTTGCATCATGCTCTTGACATTGAGAGGCGTCAGCCAGTCCAGAAGGGGAAGTCCCGAAGGGAAACTCCCGAATTAATAATTAACTCTTACTTTATACCATAGAACACTCTAATTCTTAGTCACATGCATTCCGGAGACCACTGCGCGAAGGCAGCTCTCACGAGTCATGTCAATAACGTTAACTGTTATATCCTTCTATCCCTTTTATTTCTATTAAATTGTTATGTTGTTAAATTATCGTCGTTATTTACACCTATGCTGCACTTACTCCCACATGTATGTTAGCAAAAACACCATAGCTGAATTGCGTCTGAGAGTGTTACGCGACTAGTAATCCTTCTACCTAGAGTGTCATGGTCATTTGGGTTCATATCTGAAAAGTTCATTTCCACTACAGAATCGTTTATATGGGTGTAATACAACTGAAATGTTCAACGCGTTTTCAGTTGAGAAAGTTTTAAGTGAAACACTTAACGATTTTCATGAAGCTGGGTTTTTTTTCAAATGCTGTTGCGAATTAGAAATTATAGATACATTATTAAATACCTTATGTAAAAATGAAATCTTCAGGAAAAAAATAGCTAATCACGATAATTAAACGATAATATAAATTATCTTATACACACTTCTTAAGCATTTCTTTTAATTTTAGGGAATTTCTGCAGTTTCAGTAAATGATTTTTCCTAGTGGTCGCAAAGGTAACACGAAATATTTTATTAAATTAGAATTAAAAGAATTTTTCCATAACTGCATGTAAATAGTTTAACCGAATGTCAATTAGATGTCATGTATGTTCTGATAAAAGGTTTGAAAAATTTGTTTGAATTTTTTTTTTAATAATTATACTTCAGCATATTAAACGGATAGCCTGGTTGCGGGGCACTGGACTCAAATTTGTGAGAATGGGAGTTCGAATCCAACCGACAGAATATTCCCCGTGCAGTAAATGATGACTGGTAGGCGCTAAATCTGCTGGGTCACAAAGTCCACCATGTTCCCATAACAAATTATTCCACTGAGGTTACTGGATTGGAGATTGATCCTTCTGTAGTTCAGTTCAAAAATACGATCTGCAGTTAAATGAATTGATGTATAAATTTGTCCACCTAATAAACGGGTGTGACTTAAAGTCGAATTCTTGGCCATAGATGGCGCTAGTGGAAAACAAGAACAGTCGCACCACCTTATCGCACTTCAGAAAAAAAGTTTTTTATCACGATAATTAAGCTCAATTATCTTATACAAACTTTTTAAGCATTTCTTTAATTTTTTAGAGAGTTTCTGCAGTTTCGGGAGATGATTTATCTAGTGGTAGCAAAGGTAAGGGATAATATTTGATTAAATTAGAATTTTAAGAATTTTTCTATCACTGCATGTAAATAGTTTAACCGAATGTCAAATTGATGTCGTTTATGTTCTGATGACAGTTTTGAAAAAATTGTTTTTAATAATCATGTTGATAAAGAAAAAAACTTACGTTGCTATAAGCGCAGTGACACCTCCTCCTAGAGACGCATTTATAGTATTGATAGCAGCTCTGAAAGGAATAATTAAACTGTTAAAAATATCCCATTGGAGACAGATTTATATATAAATATCACACTGAGATAAATTAAAAACTGGTCATTTACTTTTGATCGACAACTAAATGATTTTTATATGTTAAGTAACTAATTCTAACCTACAGTCCCTAGCCTAATTATTAGACGCACTATAAGATTCTATGTAAAATCTTAATTATCAGGTGATACTATACAGCTTTAGTGTTTTTACTCGACTGAAACCGGTTTGCACTTATTTACGTTTGTGTATCAATTGGTTAACATTGTAATGCAATACGTTAAAAATAAATACAAATGGGAAATATATGAAAAATCTCCTGAATAAAAACCCATTACATGTGTGTTTAAATATAAAACTATTGCCTATAAACTCGTGCAAAACATGTAATTATTAAAACTTTACAGTACGTCTCATATTTTGATCTAATTATTTTAATATAATAATATAATACTTGATATAATCAATATTCTATATTCATATAATATATCGTCCAAGTCAATTTTCGAATTTATATTATCTATAGTCTAATTTTACCCATTGAACGTAAACAAGTGCAAACCGGTTTCGGTGGCGTAAAATAAATAATGCTGTATAGTATCAACTGATAATTAAGATATTACATAGAATCTTATAGTGCTTCTAATAATTTAGCCAGTGTCTGCATGTATTAAAAGTTTTGGAAAAGTTACCTTCCTGAGTATTGCCATTTATTTCCGGTTATTCCGAAGCTGCTACCAGTATTAAATACTAGCCATCCCCACCTAAAAGGATCAAATAAGTATGAGTAAGAAAAGATGGAGAAAAAAAAATGCTAAGAAACAGATATCAAAACACCAAATATCAGTTTCTGAGAAGCATTAAACACATAACTAAAGATTAATAGTGACCGACCTACCCCCGGAGGAGCTGCCAGATAAGGATTTGGTCTGTTGCCACGCGAGAACTAAACACTTCAAAATTACAGTAAAGTAAAATTAAAAGTAATAAAGATTGATACACATTAGAAAATATCGCAATATCGATTACGCGTGAACTCAAAACAATAAATCAAGTATTCTGAACCATGTAGGAAAGTTAAAAAAATGAAGTGGATAATGAGCGCAAGATGTGTCCGTGCAAAAACAGATAATTCAGCATCCCCAATGAGATTTATAGAATTTAAAATCAATCATAATATTTCCAAAAGGAGCTTAGAGTTAGAACCAATAAAAAATTTCGGAGCAAATACATATAGCTATCACGAAAGAGGTGACCAACGACTAAAAGTTCTCCATGGGTGGGAAAAGCCCCGAACGGCAAAAAGTCCAAGTGTGTCAGACTTAAAATTAAAGATCAAAGGGATCTTGAGGAGAATCAGAATTCTTAAAAACAAGTCAAAAGCGCTTAACACGTCTGAAAGAGTAAAAGTGACCAAAAATAAAAGTGTTAAAAATACAGTTTAAAAAAACATATAAGGAGTAAGGTCAAGTAAAACATAAAGTAGAAAAAATATTTTTATAATTTTATAACAGTCGTTGAACATCTGACACAATTTTGGGTGTAAGACTACTAATGTTCAACTCCGTAACCTTGTAATTTTGAACCAAACCAGAAGACAAGGGAACTCCTGGATCAGCACCCCTAGAGGTATTGATTTGTTATGGAAATATGGAGGAATTTGTGACTCAACAGATTTAACGTGTATCAGTCCCCATTTACTACACGGGGAGTCTTCGGCCAGCGAGAATCGAACCCACGCCCTCTTGGACATGGGCCCAGTGCCCTACCAACCAGGCTATCCCAGCCGCATGGATGGTTGATTTTATTTTACATTATAACCGTCGTTGAACCGCCGACCCAATTTTATAAGGATACGACTACTAATTATCAACTCGGTAGCCTTGTAATTTGAACCCAATCCAAAAAGCAAGGGAACTCCCGGATCGAGTATAGGGAGACATTTGCTGTTGTGGAGGACTTTTTGATGGAGCTAACCCGCATTTGCGTTACATGGAGAGGAAGACCACGAGAACCTCCCACGGTTAGCCTGACGGCAAGGGACTCTAACCATCTACCACTGAGAATATTTCACGTAAGCACTGTGATCGGTACAAGCCGGATACGGAATTCGTATGGACTGGGATTCGAACCCGGTTCGCCTCATTGGAAGGCGAAAGCTCGATCCCCTGAGCCATCGCGTTGCATGGATGGTTGATTGACTATGTAAAGCTAAGGGCAGATGACACCAGGGGTTACAATTCGTCGTAACACATCTGGGTTACTACTTCCGACTGATTTTTGCACTTAAACTTGAAAAAACGCACTATCCATGTTGCATGATTCATGTTGCATGAATTGCATGATCATCGAGATCAATGTTTTGTAATTTACCAAAATGGCAAATTACATGACCAGATTTAACCTCAACATTTTATTTTATTACCGACGGTGAACAGTCAATACAGATCGGATAATCCGTCATTTATGTTCAACACTGCACAATTTTGATCCCTACCCAGAAGACTATTGAACTTCCATATTATAAATTGAGGCAAACTCATCTCCATTAAAGACTTGTGGTGAGTGTAGTTATCGGCCATGTCAACCTTCATCCATGAAAAGGTACTCCATCATAGAATAGAGCTAACATGTCATATATACTAGCGAATTTGAATTTTGTACTGGTAGACGCACTACAGTGCTCCCTCACCAGAATTATAGTTGTGATAGAATTCGATGAATGGATACCACTAGGATTTTTAAACTACAGTTAAATTTTACAATTTCTAGAGCATAGAGATTTAGTATCACAACTTACCACAAAGTAAACAGTCCCATTATAGCATTTCCTGGGTCGCCCATTGCTAATGAAGCTGTGCTCTGATCATATCTATGCAGTCTCGGTTTTAACATAGAAGCCGCCACCAGAGCCGATGCACCTCCAGTTAAGTGCACAGCACATGAACCAGCAAAATCTATGGCTCCTAATTTTTTCAAAAAACCATGGTCACCCCACATCCAGCCAGCTGGTATGCAGTAAGTGATGGTGTTGACAAAAGAAAACAATATGTAGGCGTTGAAGTCAGCCCTTTCAGCCATTGCACCTGATACTATAGTTGTAGCAGTTGTAGCGAAGGATAACTGGAAAATGAAGGTAGCGAAGACACCACCGTCGTTGTCTTCGGTATCTACCATGAATAAACCAACCCCGCAGAAGGCAGATGTTCCTGGTCCTGTACCGTATTGAAGACCGTAGCCGAACATCCAGTAAGAAAGTCCGCCCAGAACAACATCAACGGCGTTTTTCATCAGAATATTAACTTCATTCTTTTTGGAAACAGCACCAGATTCTAAAAGCCCGAAACCTGTAAAAAATAATTGGATACATTCTAAAAAGTATTAATTACATTATATTTTTGGAAACAGCATGAGATTGTAAAAATTCAAATCCTGTAAAGATAATTGGATATATTCTAAAAGAAATATAAACTTCATTCTTTTTGGAAACAGTACCAGATTCTAAAAGTCAAAATCCTATAAAGGTAATTAAATTTTACTCTTACAAATATTACCGACTTTACTCAAATTTTGCATTTTACCGTGTAAAAATATATTCTTTAAAATGATGCAAAAATTTGTATACCTTATAATCTAAGTTTTTCTCGACTACTTTTAAATAAAAGAACAAAAGATATTAAATATTTAAGAAATTGTTTTTGGCATGGAATTGTCTGTGGATAAATGAATCTTATAATTGTGTGTAAAATTTTTTTTAATTCTATTAAAAAGTTCTTGAGATATAACAAAATACACAAAAAGTAAAATTAACACTAAGAGGGTTCAAACTTTTGAGCTCTCTCGTGATCAAACTATTGGGACCATAATTTCCAGATTGCGGCTATCCCCTATATTCTGGGGGGCAAAAGTCTGAATCCGTCCAAAGAAAGGTATGTAAAGGTATGTATGCTTAGAGAAATTACGTTTTTGTTTCTGATTTCGTAACTTAAAATATCGTTTACTCTTATTAATTAGCATATTTGAGGTTACCATATTTGAGCATATTTGAGGCGAAGATCCGATCATCAGATCAAAAGTTATTCAGAGTGGGTTTTTTTTTGCGCACTGTATTTTAAATTTGATAAATGCTCTAATTCTTCATGTTTAAGTTATTCAACCTTAGGTCTTAAGTTTATAAGTGTTGGAAGTTGACAACAACTACGTTAACTGACATTAAGAAATCAGTATTTAAATATCTTTTTTGGTAGACCAAGATTTCAGAGAATGATATTGTCAAGTTAGTCATAGCTTCGTATATATCAATCTTGATTCCCACAAAAAAATTCTTGAAAGAAATGAAAATGAGACAATTCTCGATCATTCCATGAATTTATTACTACTACGATATGTTATTTTGTAAGGAAAGTATATCTGTACTCTCGACTCCCAAGGTAACAAGTTACAAATCGAAGCCATTGGAAGTTTGCTTAATTTCGCAATTTGAATATTATTCATCAAGCATGTATCAGACTTTTAGCAATTGAAAAAAGTTTCCAAATATGTGTGGTGATCAAAGAAAATTATCAATTGATCAATTTTTAAATTCACGGAATGTATTTCTAATTTTGGACCAGTTTGAAAACTTTGGTGAACCATGGGTCTGTATGAAACTTGAAATCATAAAATATACAAAAGTCTTAAAAGTCATGGAAATAAATTTAATTTAGGCATTAACACTAAATGTGCTAGAAAAAAAAAGAATTGATGAAAATATTGCATTAAGATTCGATTCACATTCAATTTATATGAATCATATTTTTTTAAAAAAATACTTCCAAAGAAAGTTAAATACCAGTCTGCATTGTGAATATCACAAACGAAGCAGTCAAAATCCAAGTTGCATCATCCGCGTTGACTGGAGTAATTCCTGCCTCCTCTTCTTTGGTCATGCTCTAAAACAGAAAAAAAATCTCATAGAAGTTTGGCACCAATAAACGTTTTAAGCAGTAAACTTAAGAAAATTAAGTAAATTTTAGTAAATTAAGTAAATTTTAGTAAATTAAGTAAATTTTAGTAAATTAAGCAAATTTTAGTCAATTTAGCAAAATTTGGTAAATTTTGGTAACTTCAGATTTTGGTAACTTTAGCAAATTTTGGTAAATTTAGTAAATTTTATTTGTCGGGAGTAATTCCTGACCATGCTCTAAAACAGTAAAAAAAAATCTCAAAGAAGTTAGAAACCAACAAATTTTTTAAGCCGTAAATTGTCGGCTATTTGTTTAAGTTAGCTTTCACTTCCACTGGTGGTAAAATTTTGTTTTAAAACACAAGAGATTACGTTTTCATCGTATGATGTTTCATTTTTAGAACATGTAGACAATTTGAAAAATATAGACAAATATCCTAATTATTTCATTGTTAACATTTATCTTGGATAAACAAGACGCATTCTTGTCCTACAAAAAAAATTTTATGTAAAATCTTTTTCTGAAAAAAATGCCACACAATAAAAAAATGCCACATAATGCCACATCTCATAATTTTTATCACAATTTGTAGATACCAGAATGAAATATCTGCTTTATTTAATCACAAACATTCCACCACTTTTTCCACAATTTCCGCTTAACTTAATCACTTTGTCCAGCGTTTTCATTATTGCATAGTTCGGGAAACTAAAGGTTAAAAAAATTCGATCTAAAACTTTTTTCTTACCAATTTTGGGATATAGACTATTTCATCACTGCCAACTCTCCCGGTTTTCCCAGAAAATTGTATTCTTATATATCAGAAATGCCAACTGTTCCGGATTCGACAAAATATTTTAAATACACGTAAAGAACTAAAAACTAAAAATTTTCAGATTTTCGGTTACTTCTGCCAATTTCTTAAAATGTTTAACACGGCTTCACTGTCATAGTCATATTATTGCTCAAGGCTTATAGACCGTGAAGGGACCTTTTATCTTTTCATCTTGATTTGTAAAGTAATTTTCAGCATGAGTTTTCAAAATAGAAGGAAAAGTAAAAGGAAAAATAATCATGATATAGAAAAAAAACTAAAAATAATTTTGAACTATTAGCTGCCATTGCACTAATAAGAAATCAGAGTTATGAACAGTTAGAAAAAAGACTGCAGCGCCAATCGCTTGCAGTGTTATAAATTAAATTATAAGTATCAATAAGAGATTTAAAATAGTGAAGAATTAATTGAATTTATCTGATAAAATAGAATCGTTAGAGAAAAAATGGGCTAGGGGACTGATTTTGGAATCTTCAATTAGCATTTCTGCTTTAAAAATGTTGTTGTAGCTTGTGGCTGAGCATTTTTGTGCATTTTCAATAAAATTGTGTGTTAGGTGTCATTAAAGTTTCAGTGAGGGTCTTTAATTTAAAATCTATTTGTTTAAATTATATGTAATATCAAGCCGAGAATACTGCCCTGGGGTATCTTATTATTCTATTGGATGAGAGAATGTCGTTTATTTTAATTTTAAGGGATCTGTTTTGACTTGACAGTAGCAAAATGGCGAATCACATATGCCTTTGAATTATTTCAAAGTAGTGGTGAGCAAAAACCTCATGAATCGAGTTTATTTGTCCAAGTATCATACATTAAATGACTACTACTCGAAAATAATTTTTCGCTCTCCGGAGTAAGTTGGCAACTCTGATATATTAATTTGTAGAGTAATTTATGTTTTTATTTAAATTACGAGAATTTAAATCCTGCATGCTTATCAAATCAATTCTTATTTCGCCAGCACTAGAATAAGCGATTATAAAAAAGTCTTTAACTTTCCGAAAATGAATTTTCCAGGCCGGGACAGCCTTATTGAAAGGGCGCTGGACTCATGCTCGTGAGAATGGGAGTTCGAGTCCAGCCGGTCGAATATTTCCCATGTTATAATTGGTGACTTGCTCACGTTAAATCTGGCGGGTCACAAAGAAGTCCTCCAAGTTCCCATAACAAATTATACCTCTGGGGGTACTGATTTGGAGATTGATTGTTCTCTGGTTCAGGTCAAAACTACGATCTGTGGATGAATTAATGAGTACGCTCTACAAACGGGTGTGACGTATGGGTCCTGGCAGAAGTTGAATACGTGGTCATAGATTGCGCCACTACAAAACACGGACAATCGCACCCCCTTGCCTTGATGGCCTACAACAACAACATGAATTTTCCACGTAATCATATCATTTTACTTTAAAGTCTATAATATTTAGAAACTACTGTCATTTTATGTCATTTTATCCTTTCACCTTTTGGCGGTTTTATGAGCTGTATTTACGGCGGTTTTTGGTGAATAGTTAGATTTTTTGTCTTGTATTAAGGGTTCCACCAGCTCTGGCTCACAGCTCACTCAGTTTTTACTGGTTGTCTCAGGGTTCACAATTTTTGTATTATATATATATATAATTTTTGTATTCTATTTATATGAGGGTTAATAAGTTTTGTATTGTATATATACATATAATTTTTGTATTTTATTTATATAAGGGTCTGTTGACCTTTTAAATGATTCATTGTATTTGGCGTATGGGCCTATTGGCCTAGGCCGCTGTATATATATTAAATTA